AGAAGCGCCAACAACGCTACCGTTTTAAACTTACCGTTTAAACCTGACCCAGCTACGGAAACTTTAATATCGTCTTAATACCGCTTTGAGACGCCGCAAAATTTAATGATACACGCTAGCGCGCTCTTACAGCAACGCGGTAAGATATAAATAATTAAGTACGCGATCGTGTATCAAAAGGTAGGTTTGAAAATTACTTTTATAGAATGGATTTTTAACAAAAGTAAATCAAAACAAAAATGTATTTTATTAAATTGCAAATTTGAATTGTAGCAGTAAATTTACTTAATGAATAGATAAAAGTGTAAATTCCATACGTTTTGTTGTTTGTTAGCTCAGTCGAAAACGCAACATCCACCGTTGTGTGTGTTCTGTCGTACGTTCAGGTCAAAACGGTAAATTAACAGACCGGGAATTGCACTGACGGCGCTGAATTACAACCAAACAACAGATGGCGTACCGGTGGTAGCGTTAATTGGTTACAGTAGAAACCCCAACGTTGGATGGCAACGGATCTTAGTGTACCACCGAGCGATGGTCGGCCGCCACGGTTTACTCCGCAAACTGGCTTCCGATAGAATTAATCAATTACCTACGCCTTAGTGAAGTCAAGACTTGATCACCCTGTGTTTGTTAAATTGCTCGTTCAATGAGCCCTTCCGGATTTTGGGTGAAAATTTAGAATTTAACTTTTATTTATAACAGCGTCTACGTAAAGTTCATCTACTTAATTATTGAAGGCACTTAAATAACCAAATTTCAAGCATTTGAAATGAATGGACTTTGAATGAACCACATTCTTCGCGAATGAAAGATCATTTATGAAGAGTACACAGTGATAAAGCGAGTAAAAACTTAGCTATTTTCAATACCTCAAAGCTAAAGCTGGTAAACGGCTTAGGGATACTTTTACCACCTCTTGATAAATTTATCCGATAGATAAATCCTGCTCTTAGCCAATGAGAGCGCTTAAAACCGCCGTAACCATGGCAACTATCCTCTAGATAGTTTATCAGGAAGATGGTAAAAGTGGGCCTTAATGTGAGTAAATTATTTAAAAAACGAGCAACCGATCTTGACAAAGGTCTTCTTGCTTCTTACGAGGTGTCTTTATTGATCGCTAAATGTGGTACCCTCACACAGTTGGCGAAACTCTTGTTTTACCGTCTGTTGAATAATATAACGTATGTTATAGCGCTGGTTATCACTTCTTCGTAACGAATAACAATTTGCTGCTTTTTGTTGTAACGAATTATTTATTTTAAAATGCTACATGACCCATACTAGGCGAGGGCCCTAGTAAGTAGATAATTAATAGATTCTTTTCCCAATTGGGTCAAATTTCGCAATTAGGTCATTGCGAGACCGAAAAAGGTCGACAATTTCAACATTTGTTATAAAAAACGTAATAAACGTGCAAAAAAATATGAAAACATTTTATTTTCCCATTTGGTAGTCAACCCCTCATAATTCTTGAATGAATTAAGATATCGGGTTTGGTTTATGGGGTTGTGTTTCTCTTTTAATTACCTTTAAAATAAGGTAAAACTCAACAAGGGTTCCTATTTAAAAATATAGGGGTGGTCATCCCTTAAAAAACTCCACATTACATGGAAGTTCTAAACTATCTAAGAATGTAGTTTTTATGACTCTTTATTGATTCCCAAATCTTCAAATTTTTTTCTTCACTCGTTCAAAACTTATAGCTATGTCACGGGAGTTTTGGGAAACCTGTATAGTTTTTATATATTGTTTAAAATAATAAAACTGCTTTATTATTTACACTTTACTTCAAATTAAAATTAGGCATACAATGAAAATGACAAGGGGCGATAGGTGTTAGTTAACCTCCAGAAAGGGAAGATGGGCCACAAAAGGTTGGGAACCACTGGGTTAGATCAATATCAATTTCAATATCTAGGAGTGGTAATACAGTGTAATGGAAAAAATGAAATAGATATTAATTATAGAATTGGGAAAGCACTAAAAATTGCAAGTGGCGTGAACTTTAACTTTTTGGCTAAAGCACTGAAACAAAAATCAACGTGTTCAAAACAACGTCTATTATAGGCCTGTAGCCTAAAATAACTTTTTTAAAATACAAGTGACTGAAATGAAGTATTTCAGGAGAGTTAGGGGGATAATGAGAGAGTTGATTCAATATTGGAATTCATCGGAAAAAACAACTAAGCTGGTGAGGTTATGCACAAAGAATGAATAGTAATAGACCGCTGAAAAAAGTTTGGCAATTTAGAGTACAGGAGAAAAGAAGACGGGGAGGACCACGACAGACATGGGATGAAGTCATGAGGGAAGCGTTGAAAAGGAGAGAAATAAATTGGACACAACCTAGAGTATTGGCTAGAGATAGGAAAAGAAGAAAAAAATTGATGAATAGTATTTAAATTTCATACCTGATATCATATTAAATGATACATATGGTTAAATGGTTTGATGTGATGACACCATGCTTTTTTTTAATTTTTAACATGGGTGAAGACCATGTTCAAGTCCACCGGAAGTAGAACACAAAATGGTTATTTTAACTGTTAAATATTTAACATTTTCAATATTATCTTATAGTTTTCATATCATAGCATACACAAGAAGCTTTAACCTTCAATTTAACAAATATATCATATCATTATCCTTTAAAATACAGTCGATATGATTTTTTGAAACTTTCGTGTTATTTTTTATTTATAAATTTGACAATTTCTTATTTAATAATTTTTCATGATTATTTCAATAATATTATCATATAATATTTTTATCATATCATAAACCAGAACCTTTAAGCTACAATTTAACATACATATCATATCAAAATTCTTAAAAATACAGTCGATATGATTTTTTGAAAATTTCGTGTTATTTGTTATTTATAAATTTAACAATTTCTTCCTTAATAATCTTTTTATGGATATTTCAATAATATTATCATATAATATTTTTATCATATCATAAACTAGAATCATGAAGCTATATTTAACATACGGATCATATCAAAATTCTGAAAAATACAGTCGATATGATTTAGTGAAATTTTTGCGTTATCTGATTTCTAAATTTGAAAGTTTCTTTAATAATTTTTCCTTGAAATTTCAATAATATTAGCTTATAGTTTTTATATCATATCATAAACTAGAATCTTTAAGCTAAATAACTTGTGGGCATTCATTTTAAACTTTCGATTTTTCCCAATTAAATAACGAAAATTTGTAATTCAAATTTTGACCACTCTGTATAAGATGTATAAGCCTCCGGTAAAGTTTGCGGGGCGTCTAGTAAAGATGGTTTCATCAGAACAACGCTTCTGTCAAGATCAACCACGTTTAACTTCGGCCATAAATCAGATTTCAAAATACCGTTATTTAGAATTTGTATTGTCTTTTGCATTTAGATAACATTTAAATATTATCTTTTTTGGTTCTGAAACAAATCTCTATTACGTTTTAATATGTTGTATTGTGATTAATTTTAAATTCACTCGATAGTTACAAAATAAAAATTCTTATAAGATTAATAAATAGTAAATCAAAAAATGATATTCATCTTTAATTCATCCCTAATATTTATTCATCTTGAAAATTGTTGAAGCGTGGTGAAAAACACGGGATTATAGTATTTATTGACGTTCCGTAGGCGATTAAAATAAGATTAGAAGAAAATTTCCATTCAGAAAAACAAAGAACTAAGTGAACGATTTCTTAATGGCATGATTTATTATTTAAACCGTAGACCTTCATCGAATTGTACATGTGTATAGATTACTACTAGGTCTAGGTGAATATTGAGTATAATGACAGTATAATCATCAAGGATGCAAATAATATATGTTGGTCGGTGTTTGTAAAGAACTTCCATTGAATTACGACTTGTTGATAGTGGTAACCCATTAGGGAACTGTTTGTTATCAAATCAATACTGGAAACCTGATCACCAACGTCTGCATTATAAGGTAATGCGGAACAATGCAAATATGCAATAAAATTAATAGTTTTCGTTCGATTTTTTTTAATATTTGGTTCGCTACATCCCAATATCCAATTAAATTTGAAAATTCGACGTCCGGCAGTGCCGTAATCGGCTCGCATATAAATTAAAGTAATTCCACAAAAACGGGCCTGTTTCGCAGGCCTTTCATTACGGGCCGCAGGTTTCCACGGCATAAAAGGCCGGTATTAATTATAAAACAATTGGAAATCGTGTGCGCATATTTATACGCATATAAATCTTTTTGCTCGGTCGGTCTGCTCGTCCCGTTCGTTTGTTGTTGCTTTTATTGTTGTTGTTGGGTTTATTTGCGTAACGTAATTGAAAATTGGTTATTTTAATTCTACTAAAAGTTTTTTTATATAACAGTTAGCATCACACAATCGTTTCCGCAGATAGAATTACAATCGTCATACAAAATGAAACAATTTTTTGTACAATTTATTTGTTTCTATTTGAGATTTTGATTGTTAAACATTATCGATAATGAAAAAGAATAATAATAAATGAAAAGCTCTTTCATTTCAACAAGTACCTACAATGATATTTAAAGCGTTTAAAAGTACGATCTCTTGGTTCAAATACGATAAAGTCCTGAAACTATCGCTATAGCACGAAGGCTTTTCCTGAATGAAATCGACGACGCCGACGCGACGAAATTGCAGTGACCGGTATTAAATTCTTTTACCAGTGGAGGCCAAATCAATTTAAACAAAGCGCCAAGTTTCATTCGACTTTTTTGCCCTCCTTTTAAGTTACTCTAGACAGCAGTGAATGCTATTGAAATCAGATACGGTCAATAAGACCAACGTCCGAAGATTCAAAAAAAAGCCAAACAAAAAAAATTAAAATAAATTCCAACGATTGTAAACTGAATAACCACGCCAAATAAAATTAAATCTAAAAACGAAACAGTTTATCGTCCACCGGGAACTGAAAGCTGCGGAGCTTTCGGACGGATTGCGGAGCAAAACTTTTCAAATCTGAACGATAAAGCTACTTACTTTTGGCTTGTTTTGTTAGACTTGACGGGTACAGTTCCGTTGATTTTATTATTAAGTTCCAGAATATCCATCCATGAGGTTTTTAAAGCCCTGAAACAATGAATAACATTTAACATGGATAAAGTGAGGGTTCATAATGAGAATACTTGTAACAAATATTGTCGCAAATACAAGGTGGTTGTTATGTATATTTCAATATATTAACGTCGGCGATGTTGTGAAGCACGACAGGTTGTTAGAGGATGAATAGGTACAGTTGCCAACTCTCGCCAGTAAATTTTTCATTTTCCTGGCATTGGTGCGAGCCAAGAAATTAATCAAGGAATGAGATCTTACGGTGAGTCACCTGCTCGACTTTAATATTTTCATTTAACTTGAATCATTAGTATAAAATGTAAAAAAAAATATGTTATTCCTTTAGTATTGAATTTTCTCTTTTTAGTATTTACTGATTGTACTATCAAAGAGATGGAGTTAAGTTGCCAAGCTCAACAACCCTAGAATAAATTTTGCGGCATTCTCGTTTTTGGTTGGGATTTACGGTCGGATGGTAGCGATAGCGAATGCAAATAAGTCTCGCGACCCTCTCTCCCACCAAACGGGAGAGGCAAGGTATACCTTTCTTGCCGGTCCCACAAATTTCTTTTAATTAGTTTCGTTATTTGCATGGAACGCGAAAAGAAACTGTCGCGGCAGAGATGAATTTACGATTAATAGGGGGTGCCTGCAGGTGGGACGGGACCAAATTAAAAAATCCCGTAAATTTCTTTCCCCCGACCAGTTACATCATAAATGCAAATACCGAGACATAAATATGCATCCTTCGGTTCGGTAATTAGTATACGACGGTGTTTTGCTGGAACGACGCCCTCCTTCGTGGTGCTTTGTACATTTTTACGACGTTGCCGTATGCAAATCCCCGGTTGCTATATTAATAGTTGGTCGGGGTCGTTCGTCGTAAATTTCTATTATGGCAATTGCGATTACAGACGATGTCGTTCTGAGAAGGGGTGCAACAATGGTTTTCATTAGAAGACGGTGCGCGTTTGCGATTTATGAACATATCACGACGAGTCGAAATAAATTAGAAGAACCGACTTTCAACCGACGACAGAGAAAATGTAAAATTTAAATCGGACGATTAGCATCGAGTTATAAATAGGAACAGGACACGCGACGCCCGTTAATGAACCGGCGGAAAGTTTGCTAATAAGAAACTATGAATAAATTGCGCGAGAATTCATCACGACTTCGCTTGGTGGTTGAGGAAGCCTGCAGACCATCGGTCTTCGTTGGCCACTCAAAACTACGGGGAGAGAGCAGACCGGAATCGTCGTTTTGCACTGTTTTGGACACAGCCCGCTCGCTTCCGCCGCAGGAAGTAATGTAAATTTCTAATGAGCCTTTCGTGTACATCCCGTACCACGCCAACGTGATCGATACGACCACCTAACCATAGATTTAAACCATATATAGCTTCCCATCCACAAGTGCTCCAGCAAAATTTCTCCAAATTTCACACGTATTCTTTAGCACTTCAATTATCTAATTAGTATAAAATCTCGTCACGGCGTATGTAGACATTATAACGTCAACGTTGATTAACTATCACGGGTGTAATTACCCAGTGGAACCCCTATGTTTACCATGCGGGGCACAGACGCAATTTGGCCACGGCATGAACCGTCTTATAGAGGGAACCCGCAGTTTCGCGAATCCATCGCTCACGCTTCAATCACGTACGCGGCTTTCGCGAGCCCCCTTCGTGTTTTCCCGCGGGGCCGTGCCCCGCTTAATTACTAGCGTCGCCCGTTTCTCCTACAACACAATCAGAATAAATCATAGCCGCTGATGTACTGTAATAAGATTTTAGGAGACGACGCGAGTAATTACGCATTCGGAGTTGGTTATTAAGGGGGCAATCCCCCTCTGGGAACATCTCCACGCCAGCTCAACCCCTTCTTTGACACGAATAAGTAAACTTCCATAAAATATATCTTTTTAATAAGTGTAATTCAAATTTATCAAGCGCTGTTTAAACGTGTTTAACTCTTTAATCCGTTAAATTAGATTTTATATGTTGAGAAACTATGTTTGCATGGCAAGTTTTTTAATATAAATTGGAACAAGCTTGCAATAACATAGTAGACAAAATCGATTTACTCCGTCAAAATCATCAAAAACATATCGTTCAAACTGCAATGCTAAAATTTTATAATACAGGGGGCCCCGTAAAGGGAACGAACCGCCGGAACCCAAAAAACGGAAAGCCCAAAATCCCAAAAGGTAGGAAAAAAATCCTTATAGAACGTACACAGAAAGTTAGACGATGAGCTATAACTTTGACTACATCATTTAGTAGCTTCGATAATACCGCATCGCTTTTCTTTTGCGATATTTCTCATATCTATCATAATAAGGGAGGGGGAGGAAAGTGCGTTTTCAAATGTTTTCATTTTAATATCTCCGAGACCATTCAACCGATTTGAAAATTTGCTCTTGTTTGAAAGAGCATTTTATGCTCTTTAAAAATATATTCAGTAAGACCGTTTGGTTTAAAACAAATAAGCTAGAAGGCGTTATCTGCAGCGATTACATATTTATGTGATTTTTGAAAAAAAGTTAAATGGAACGGTACTATTTACTTCATTGACCTTTAGTCACCATAAAATTTGCCGTTCTAAATAATCCGTTCTCGAATTATAGAAGAAAATGTTAAAAATTCGTGTATCTTAATCGGATCAAGTTATCTTAACAAACAAATAAAAGAGCACAAAAATGTTATTACCTAGAACTTTCCTTCACACTTTATCCAAGCTTAGAACTGGTTCAAAACTACTTTTGGCGTGCTTAAAAGCTACCGGATCAATGAAACATCAACAATGATACTAAAATTTTTGGCAAAAATCGCTCACAAATGTTCGAAATGCTGTCCATAAACCACGATGCATTTATTTAATCTAGTTTCGACGGAAAAAATCGTGTTTAAGATTCAGCCCTGGATACGTTTCTAATGGCAGTTAGTGTTTTATCATATTTTCCTTGATTATTGGTTTTTCTTGAAAAGTCAAGACATTTAGTCTACCCCATAGATAAAAATCTAAAAGGGGTGAAAGCAATCTGGGCTTTGCTCGAACCTAGAATGTATATTATGCAAGTTTGCACCAGCTTGTTGAAAGATACTTCATGCATCGTGTGATAAAAGGTTTGGATTTGCCCGAATCATATTTAAAAGTCAATGATAATAGTTCAGTCTATTATCATAATCGGTATCTGTTAAGGCCAATGTGGTGGAGATACATATTATTCTTTTGAGGAATCTTGTGGCCAATTGTTTTCGGGGTTCCCAGATTATATGGGATCACATTGCGCACCAATGTGATTTACGAATTCATAGAGATGTCTAAATGGGCTACACGTTGACAGTTTCCCTGTATAATTCACAGAAATAATGGAAATATCTGAACTAAAATTTCGTCAAGCCTAAAGGTTTAACCCTTATAATAAAAGATTGGTTTGTGATTACGTACTCGCAATACCGTTAGTTCATAAAATAGACACACACAATGAAACAACAATTGAAGCAAATAACGATGTCACTGAGAAAATCCCGATTTCGCAAGGAATCAGAAAAATAGTTGAAGAGGTCAATTCACAGGATGGGTTCAAAATGGAATATGATTATAAACATAATCTGCTATACAGACGATGTAGTGATGTACTATTCATAGCCAAGGAAGAAGTATAAGGAGCCACGAAGATGTAAGCTGGAACTGGAAAGCAATGCCATAGAACTGGTGATGACCTTTAACCATCCGGAAGACGAAATTTCAAGCGATCGCAACTGAATATTCAAGGAGGTGCAAAACGAGGCGACAAAGAATTAAGATAGAAAAGAAGAAGACGAAGAAAAGAGATAGAGACAAAATGAATACATTAATAAAAATATATTATTCATAAAATATATATTTATAAAAATTAATCATTTCTTTTATTTTCAATGCAAATTATTACAAACAAATCGATTACAATTTTTACGTATCAGAGTACTTTTTTTCAGAATTCTTATAGCATTTCCCACATGCTCATTTTACAACCTCATTATAAGCATCGGTTTTCTTGAGATATCTTATGATATCAACGCTTGCTTCTCGGCGTTGCTTGAGAAATTTTGATCCTTTACAGCCTGTTAATTTTCTGTTTTTTTTTTAATGAATGTATATAAAAGCAATAAGTACACTGTAATGTCTAACATACTGTCGAACTTTACTGAAGACATAAAAAGGAAGCTACAGATATTCATCATCAAATACCTGCGGTACATATAGTACAAATATTCTGGCCACTAGTTATTTCAAATGACGAATTATGCAGCAATCAAGTGTAAACGAAGAAATAAAATGACGAATGTACGGGTGGATTGGGTACGCGTTAAAGAAACATAAATGAGTCTGTACATAGCGTCCTAGAATAAAACCCTCTTGGGGTCTTTTAGGTCTTCGTGGAAGATCCAAAATGACATGAAGGAGAATTGAAAAAGAAAGCAACATATCAATTCCACAAATGAGAAGTATAGCGAGGGATCGTGGCCGATAGAGAGATTTCTATATGATTCACCAGGATCACCATCATACTATTGATGACAAGGCAGAGTAAATGTCTAACATGCAAAAAAAAACTGCCACTAGCCATCTTCTTGTTTCTCTTTTACCTTAGGACCTCATTAAGAATTTTAATAACTTCCGGAGATAGTTTGCCTACTTCGATTGATTGTTGTGGATTCTGTGATTCTTGCGAAATATGAATGAGTGCAAATATGAATGCTTCCCTGTTGATTTGATTTTCATTTGAAGGTAATCTATATGGGGTTATACTCAAAAAAAGTCTTTTTTTAACGTATATCCTAAATTTTTGTTTGATTGCAAAGCAGTTTTATATGAGCTACATATGGGCTACATAGAACAACGTCAAACCGTGCCGACTTACCTCGGAACATGTCGGTACTTACTGACCAAGGCGAGTGCGAGCTAACGTATCGATTATATTAGTAAACGGATCGGTTTCAATTAATTAACATGTCGGTTTAATTATAC